GCAATTGACGAGAAAGAAGGTAATGCAGGAAAAGAGCCGAAGACGATACCTTGAATCCATCTTTGAGTCATTTCCCGAACTGAGACTTGAAGAGGATTTCCTTTTAAGCAGGATTTTTCTCCAAAAATTTTATTATAGCATGGTAGTATTTGATGAAGCAGTAGTAATTGACATTTTTCTTCACTGGCTCGCGACCGGAATGAAAGAAACGTCTAGGAAGTTTAGCATCTCTCATTCTCGGATATGCGTAAGAGACACAAAAAGATTTGGAGAATGGAAGAATTAAAAGTAGAATTGAGAGATCAAAGAAGAATGTTGTCGACTGTGTAAAGGAGAAATCAAAGGATTTTGCCGTGAGAGAGGAGAACCGACGTCGGCGGAGAAAACATGGAGAAGAAGAGAAGATTAGGTTTAAGTTTTTTTATTTCTTTTTTAATTATGTTTAATATTTTAGTAAAGTTAAAACAAAAACTAGGGTAAATAGACAAAGGGTAAAAATAGAATTTTAGATACTAAAAATTGTAGATACCTAATTATATTTTATGTACTATTAGATACCTAATTATGCTTAAAAAAAACTAATATATAGCCTAATTTACCTAAAAAATATTACTCTATTATCACTCGATCAGTTGTTAATTATTTTTTTTATGACAAATAGCGCAAGTAACCATTGATGTGAAATATTTACAGAGCTAATTTTGTTTACACGATCAGAAAACTATCATTAATCTGCTGAAGGTAATTCATATAGTGAGAGGAAAATTGTGTTGGTAATGGTAAGGGAAAACTGTCATTTAAATACCAAACTATTCGGTTTGAGTCAAAATAAATACCAACTTGTTAATGAGTCATAAAAATCACAAATTTGTGTTGACTCGGCCAAATTAGGTATACAATTAGTCAACTTTAACAGTTTTTTAAAAAATGTTAACCCCGTTTATTGTAACCGTTAAGTCTCATAACGACGGCGTTTTGATATTATGAAAAATGGCCATTTAAATACCAAATTCTTTGTTTTGCGCCAAAACAAATATCAACTTCTTAATGAGTCATAAAATATACAAACTTATGTTGACTTTGCCAAATTAGGTATAATATTAGTCAACTATAGATCAGAGTCCAAATTCGGAGACATAGCAAGACGAGACCCTCCAAGATTGTAGCGTGAGTAACATAATCACTCTATTTGGAGTCGTTAGTTTTCTTTCACTTTACCTCAAAGTACTCACGGGATGTTAGACACACTACAAGAAAACATATCAAATTTTGACCAATTTCTTTGTGGTTAGAAACTATTTTCACCACTTTTCAACCAATTTTTGACGCTTTCATATATTTGTCAAAAAATGGTCAAAAAATTGCGACAAATAAGATTGGTTGAGAATTGGTCAAGAAAATAAGTTAATTTTTGACCAAAATTTTTACCAGTAAAATGGTCAAAATGTTTATTGATAAATTTTTGACCAAAATATTATGAAAATTTAAAATGGTTGAAATATGATCAAATTTTTTTGACTAATATAAGTGGTCAGGAAGTAGTCAACATATTCTTACCATTTATCGACTAAAATAAATTTTGGTCAAAAATTATTCAATAATTTTTTACGAACAATACGTGACATAAATTGGTCACAACATTATCGACCAAATATTGATCATACATAGTCTTTTACCTTCTCTAATCTCGTGATATTTTTTTATTATGTCTTCAAATTAATTTTCAGATATTATGTTAATCTCATGACATAAAAAATATAAAAGTTATGGGTCCAATTACTAGTTTTATAATTTTATCTCTAATCTCGTGTCTAAGACGGATTTTGAGTTTATTTCAGTAAATATTTGTGTTCACATCTTTAAATCGTTTAAATCGTGTATACGCAATCAAACATAATCATGCTTCGGTTCTGGTTTAATTTCTACTCACTCCTTTTTTTGCATTCTTCTACATGCATCTCCAAGCTTGTGTGTATAACTTGTCACAAGCATCTTGCTTAGTTAACTTTCGTGCATAAAACATATACATATAATAAACATATATAAATTTTAGATCCTAGAGTTGGTTCATAATTTAAAAATATTCGCTCTAAGGTTGGTATGACCTTAATTGTTTAATAAAAAAGTTATAATTAGTTAATTTTTATTCAAGTGAAAAAGGCTAAAATTAAATTTTCTCCTCTTTCAAGGCCATAAACCCAAATATATATTTAA